GCGATACAGTAAGGTTCGTCTGTACATACATGACAGGAAAGTTTTACATTCACTAAGAAAAAAGATTCGAAGGGTGTTTGTTCTCTAAATTTACTGGAAAGACATGGGTAAGAGTGGAAAGTTGGGCCAGCTAGCGTCTATTTGCGCTTTTCAAATATTAAGACGCTGATACTTTTTCATACGCAGTTTTATCATATCCGCTAGAAATTTTATTGCACGGGCCCAGCGCCTAAAAGAAACATGCACAGCTAAAACTCCATGTTAACGCCAGACGTGAATTTTGTTTCGTACACTAATATTATAACTGTTAATTTACTAAACATTTATATTAATAGAAAACTAGGGGACTCATGTGTCGTCTAAAAAAAGGTATTCTTGACCTTAATAACACATTTCGATTTCGATTTTATCACTTTTTAACACTTTTCGATTTTATCTCTCTCCATTACCAAGTAATAATGAGCCAGCGCCAGTTAAGCATCTCCACCCTTTTCTCCAATGACCTGTCGGTCGTTCGCCTACACCTCTATTCCTCGCATAAGTTCCACTCGGCTGTCGTTTATTCTTTTTTTTTCCACAGAAAGTAACTGGAATGATCATTGCTCGACCCCTCTGTGCCTCTGACCATCGCTTCGCGCTACATATTCTCCAGAATGGCATGGGAACCCCGTTTCGCGAGACGATTGCGCCACATTTACGCCGAAATGAAACTCGGGGTCAACGCGGTAACTCTCGAGAACGCTTAAAATTCGCCCATTATAAACAAACAAACTGCGCGCTGCAAACCTATTCACACAGTGCGCCCCCCCCCCCCCCCCTTCCACCCTTTCTCCCTCTACACCTCACTCTTCTCTCGGTCTAACAGTAATGCGTCCAGATTTCGGAGTGTTTCGAACTGGTCGATAAGGTCACGTGATCTATGAGCCTATAGTTCGCAGCACAAGCTCTCCGCCCCATCTCTCCTTCCCCATGCGGCAACTCACGCATGCACATGAGGACCCCATCTGCGCAGGAAGCGTTCGCCATCAAGCTGCAAACGCTCTGTACGTTTTGAGTTGCTCCCTCTTTTAAATCTAGGCTCTTAACTCTACAACTAATGAGTTGTAGAGCTGTAAACCTGTCGTTATAACGGAAGAGCTCTTGAAACGAGTGGCCGAGCCACGAGGAGGCCATAGGCGATGGAGCTCCCATCACATTACTTTGGACGGCTGTTAAAGTTCGGGAAAGTTCGGAGGTTTAAATGGTATTTTACATTCTTATTTTCTTTTTTTTTTTTTTTTTTTTTTTTTAAAGGGTCGAGATGCGTGTTAGTTTGAAGGTGAGGACATGCGGAATGAGGTGCCCCACGCGCGCGGACCTCGCGTTCTCGAAGTTAATGGGCTACTTCTGTGAGCTCTCCGAGGAATGTTCGGTGTATCTACGGCGCCATCTAACGTAGGAAATAGGGTCTTCTTCGTTAAAGCTACGGGAAAGCGAGGTTGAAAAATGCCGCAGTTAATCCCGTTTGTACATAACGGGATTTAATTTGGAAAGTGAAAAGCAGGACGAAGATTAAAGCCTAAGCGACGACCGATGTCAATGATTCAACGTTCGGTAGAAGGCTTAGTATATAGCGCAACATCTTTTCAATATAATAATTTTTGGGAGTATTATCTGGTGGAAGTGAATTGCTCGTCCCCGTCCTAATAATGAGTAATATAACTATAACGCTTCTCAAAAAATCTGAAATAATTGTACATAATATTAATATTACCTTCAGTTTCATTAAAGCTCGTTCCAAAACTACCCTTGTACTCTAGCTGCTTGGCACACGAAGACATGGGAAGTGCCCTGTCCTATGATTAACTATGCTTTTTAAGGGCTTCGATATTGCCTTTCCAGGTTATCTAATACCCCTTGAAAAAGCCCGGAGACGAGGGGACATGAAAAAGGGGACACGATACTTCCCCCTTTTCTTGTGTGCCGTCGTCTCCATGGTTTTTCAGTAACGACCGTTCACCAGCTCGCCTGCGCAATCACCCTTATTTACATCTAATGCCCCTTTTGGACATTACTAGCTAACGCATCTAGATTGCATTTCTGATATCTCAATTCAACGAGTTATCGACACTCCGCCTCAATTTATGCAACATTTTGTGTTGCACTTCATTATTGCACAGTGCATCGCTGAATGTGATCCAAATTATGATCCTGGTAGACTCTCGTGTTGTACTCTTTGACTGCATGACGCGTTGCTGCATGCCTTCTTCGTCTTGTTCTTTCATTACGATTGTGCTGTATTTATTCTACACGGTATATCGCTGTATGAATTCTGCGCCTGGGTTGGAATGTCAAATGCTGTAAATTCAAGTGCAAGATACCAGAAACCTTGTCAAGTTAGTATAGTAGCTCTCTTACCCGTTCCCCATTCTCAAATGGAAGGAAATAAATAAACTTTGATTTGATGTTTGAATTTGAACTTACGAACTGTAGCACAGGAAAAAAAAAGGGGGGGGGGGGGGGGGTACATTTGCGCTAGCATGTAGCCCTAACGAACAAGAAGCTTGATTTTGCAACAACATTTCAGGAGTTGAAACAGGCTATTTCTTTTAAAGTTTTCTTCTCCGGAAAGCTTGCTGACGATTCGGCTCTACGGTGACAAACGCGGTTGACGACGACAAACAAATGCGACCCATGAACTGAAAACGTGCATTGCGTCAGCGATCGAATTGCCAAAGATGAATATTGGGATTTGTGTCCAATGGCTGCAGTTAGCAAACAGCCGAGCTCTAACAGTACGGATTTGGAATAGGATGTGAGCCTAACAGCATGAGCCGGCACTTGGTGTCAAGTGACTGCTTGTTCTGGCCGAAGGATGAAAAGGTGATATGACCGGATATTCTTCGATTACCAGGCACAAAAAAGCGATTAAAAGAACACTTGAGAAGGACGTTATGGATGTTAGAATGACGATGAAACGATTGTACCAATTTTTGCTCTATATAGAGACCCCAACATATTTTGCGAAGTGGAACACCATAGAGCCCGGAGCAAGAATCCTTGTTTGTTTAAACGCTTTAACCCGCAAGTGAAACAAGTGGTTCTCCATGTCGCCACATACCGTGCCCCAGAAGCGTTTCTGTGCCCGCACTTCTGACTCTTGGAGAAAACAGGCTGTCAGACGTTCTTTGCCGGTATCTATACTGACAATGTTCACCGCATCCACGTGCCTGGCCTAGCAATGTTCATACCACGTGCTACACTACGAGATTGCAAAATCTGCTCGGTTTCAAAAATCGAACCCGAATATTGGCGGACGGATTGGCGCAGTCTGAAGCATGACTCAGCGTGTGCTCAAATAGAAATTCGTACACTGCGCTCAGCTGACGTGGTTGAACACCGCGGATAAATCACGCTGTAAAAAGGCAGCAGAACGCAGGAGATAAAAAAAATAGACCGCTTTTATTTTCAATTTTTGAAAGCGAAATTTGTTTTTCTGGCTCCCTACCCTCTTGCCCTAAAGTTTTCTCCCGTGCCACCAAGCGACGGGCCGTTAGTAATATCGTTAGTAAGTACAAACTCGCTGTCATCTCAAGAGAATGCTAGCTTTACGCGGTGTTCATACGTAGTGCGAAGTAGTTCTTACAAGATTTATTTATCACAACAACAACAAAAACTAATATTCTAATTTATACGTATGAGTTATTATAAATAACAAATACCTGATCTTAAACGTGCACCCATATTTGTATCTTTCTTCCTCACACACAGATGAATAGTGAAAATATTATGCGACGAACAAACTTTTTTTTTATTTCGTTTTTTTGAAGTGAAAACTAGTGGAGCTAGTACTCCGCTCATGATTGAAACTTGTTTTGTCTTCTGTTTAGTACCTATTTTCTATTTTAACAATCGTATTTCCACTATTAGAGCGTAGCGCTTAGAAGCCCGTTTCCGGCTTGAGCGGCGTTGGCGTCGGCGTAACCGCGCGGTGTCTCACGGGAAATGTCCCGTAATGCACCGCGCGGGGAGGAGGAGGACGAGAGGGAGGCGAGTAGGAGGCGGGAGGAGGAGGGGAGGGGAAGGAAGAGGAGAAGGGAGCAAGAGGGGGAAGAGGAGAAGTGAAGGAGGGAGGAGGAGGGATGAAGAGAAGGAGAGGAGGGAGGGGGAGGAGGGAGGAGCATGAGGGAAAAGCTTGAAGGATGAGGGAAGGAGAAGGAGGTGTAGGGCGAGGAGGTGGTTAGAAGGAGGTGGAGGGAGGAGGGGAGGAGGAGTAGCAGGGAGGATGAGGAGAGGGAGGAGGGGTATACCCTCCCCTTAGTGCCCTTCCCTCCTCCTCCTCAAAGCTGCGCTCTAATTCGGCGTTACAGGGTGTTGTAAACGTCTTTCGTTTAAGAGCGCAGCTCTTAGGCGCCCGTTTCCGGCTTGAGCGGCGTCGGCGTCGGCGGAACCGCGCGGTGAATGATGGGTAAATTTCCCCGCTAAATTTAGCGGAAAAGCTTCCCCGCTAAATTTAGCGGAAAAAATTTCCCCGCTAAATTTAGCGGAAAAAGTTCCCCGCTGAATCTAACGAAAACATTTCCCCGCTAAATCTAGCGGAAAAAAATCCCTGCTAAATCTAGCGGTAAATTTTCCCCGCTAAATTTAGCGGAAAAATTTTCCCGCTAAATTTAGTGGAAAAAAATTCCCAACTAAATCTAGCGAAAAAATTCCCCGCAAAATTTAGCGCGGAATTCGTTTCGCTAAATTTAACGGGGAAATTTTCTCCTAAAGGGGGGCGAGCAGGAGAGGAGGAGGGGCATATCCCCTTCCTCCTCCCCCTCAAGAGCTGCGCTCTAATTCGGCGTTACAGGGAGTTGTAAACGGCTTTAATTTTTTTTTATTTTTTATTTACTCTCCCTGACTCTAATCGCGCAGAGCAAAGTTTGCTACTGGCCTTGCTCTGAGCAAGGCCAGTAGCAAACTGATTGCTCTTACACCACTGCCGTGCCATGCATTTATGGCAAACTGAAGCAACTCACCTCGCAAACTGTGGGCCGACGCTCGCCGCATTGTGTGTTGAACTGGCAGTGATATCTTCGTCCTTGATCTCCCCGCTGGTCATACCCAACGTCTGATTGCAGGCACCTGCATCCAAAATAAGGTAGGCATGAGCGTACCGTCCTATTGCTCTAACAGGCACATCGCTGCAACAATCAATATTGCGCACTTCATCTTTTTACACGTCCTTAGGCCACTAACATTAACCAGACGGCGCTGTCACTGCTTGCATGCATGACACCACCACTTCCTTCATATTTTGCCATGATTTGCTAATACAAGTGTTCGCCACCCTATGGCGCCACCGGTGTTATCAAATTTTACGGCTGGAGACATCAGGCAGCGCAAACAGTTTGTTGCACACTGGAGCCGTCTTTCGTCAGTGCTAGGCAAGGTTAGAGTGGTTGAGAAATTTACGCAGCACGCCGGCAACCAGTGCAGTGAAACTAGAGCTTTGGGAGCGTATTATCTTATAACTCAAGTTCACAAGGTTCGCGCAACATAGTGCGTGAAACATGTCAAATGTAGCAGCATGATCAAAGCTACACCGTACAACGACGATACCACCCTGTTAGCAGTGTGTTCGCACGTTAAGACGCGACGAGACTGCGGCTATGTTATTAATCATAACAGGGAGTTCGTCAATTCGACGCACAATTTGACTTTAGGTCAGAAACAGCACTCACCGCATCGAACTTATCTTGGGCAAAAGTAAACGTAAGCAGCACATATTTCAAAAAATACGTGCAGCGATTGCCGCCGGGCATGCGGTGATCCTTTCTGGCACCTGTTATATGTCCAGAAAGTCGTGACGCCATTGAAAGCGTCCCCGAGCAAGCTTAGCGGCAAGCAAGGGTCATCTGACCCCGCTGATATCGTCCCTTTTGCTATCTTTCCTCTAAGCTCTCGCACTTTCCTACCTTCGACGTGCCGCAGCGGGTGGGTCTACGTCGAAATATTTTATTGGCTATTATGATGCCCCTACTAAAAAAATAAGAATAAAAATTAAGACAAAATCAAGACAACTTTTACTGCTTCTTTCAAATTCAAGGACCTCTTCAGCTTTCCTTTTAGAGTTAAAGCATAAAGAAACAACATGACCGTACTAATGAATGTATCGGCTTATCGAAACTGTAATCTTTTTGGTTCCGTTAATCTGGTTCATTCATTCAAACCTGTACCACTCTCGCGTGACCCGAACAGCACTTCATCAACGCCACACAAAATGCATTCGCAAACGAGGGTGGAGACGGCGCACGCAAAGTCCAAGCAAAGAATTTTCGGCATCGCGACCCTCGAAGCTGGCCTTTATTTACTTCCACGCCTTCTCGTCGCACGGCAGATACACGCACGAACCCAGCGCGAGATGAAGTTCCGGACAAAGTATAAGGAAGCAATACAAAAGCGAGCTTGATTCGTAGAACCCTGACATTTCGGGCGGACTTGTCCGTCCGCAGCGCCACATTCCGCAGCGTAACTACGCCGCAGCCGGCCGTCGTGAGGTACGCTCGCTGTCCGCGGTTTTGAGAAGAACATCCGGGACCACTGCAACAACCGAACGAAAACGGGACGAGAAAACATTCCCCGCGTTCCCGACGTCCAGCCGCAGAATGCGGCCAAAACATTTCGGGAACACGGGAGTCTGGGGAATTCCTGGTTTTGTTCTTTTTCTCCCGTACTTGCTCTGTCGTCTTCGCGTCTTGGGGTCCCGCCTCTGCTTCGTTCGCTGCCGAGTTCCGAAACGACTAGGTGTGATGCGCAGAGCGACTTTCCTGCTCTAAAAAAAAAAAGATTTTGGAGGTTGAGAGACGATGCCAGTGGATGGATAAAACCGAAAATTGTCCTTTCAAAAAATTAATAAATAAAAAAAAAGCGAATTAAAAGATATAGAAGACACTTAGATATTGGGCTAATGTTGGTTGTTTCAAGCAATCAATTAGAATGAAAGGTCATTTCAAGAAAAGCAATGCATAAAATGAAACCTTGTTGTCAAATTAAATATGTTCCGTAGTTTAGTAACTCGCAGTTAAAAAAGGTCAAGTGTTGTTAATACTAATATTCGTTTTTTCTTTCACTTTAGGAATCTTCGCTTTTTTCAAAACTTAATTTGCTATGTATTTTTTTTTAAACCGGAAACCTTATGGCAACTTAGGGTGCACCAACAACCGACAGCTAGTATTTTGCTTCAATCAATGCTGCAGAATGAAGACTTGGGGGTGATTCAGGCTGGAACACAAGGACGAAAGAGCAAAGCAAAACTCGGGTACGAGCAGATGTGAAAGCCCGAAAAAAAACTATTGCAGATATTTTTTCAGAGATGAACCATAACAACCAAACATGATTTCTCAAGAAAATAAAAAGAAGAAACCTAAACTCTTCTTATGAGTTGTGAATGCAAAAGCATGAATGTCGTTCTTCCGCTCTTTTAGACCGTCTGCGATGTACCGGCGCGGACTGCCACGTTTCGCTGCTGCCAAGGTTGCAACCACCGACGACATAATGCCTCAGGTGCCGCCATGTTTCTCGACGCCGAGAAAAGCAAAAACAACAGCAGCCCCCTCCCACCTCCTCCCCCCGCCCCCCCCCCCCCCCCCCGTGAAGCGGCAGCCAATGGCTATCTAGGAGCCGTTGCGCTCAGCCAATGGGAGAACGGGCATTTCTTTCGCGTTCTTTGGCGGTTGCAGACGCCCAGCCAGCTCCGCTCCATAAAACAATTCCCGCTTTCGCATTAAAATATAGAAGCAATGAAAAAAAAACAACATATTCCTACTTTCGTGGAGTAAATTCTGGCGTGTACCTCATTTCTAGGAAATAATACGCAACGACTTCCGTAAGTTCCTATTTCCGTCCAATATTAGGTTGATACTGATTTTCCTTGTGGCGGACGTGTTCGCCTCTACAAACATAAACAGGAAAAAAAAAACACGTTTTCAATCGCTTTGTTCAGATGAGCCAGCTGAGAACGGAGCCACATGCGTGAAAAGAAGAAGCCTACATCGGGAACGTTCGGCAGGTTGATCACCGGAATCGGCCTGTAGTTTGGACTGAAGTTGGACTTGCAACGAAGCAAAGTATACATGCAAAAGAAGCCAATTTCCCAACTTACTCTCTATAATGACGAGAAGTAAAGTGGCTCATCTCTCAAAGGTAATCGGTTTGGACGGAGCGATACCCGAACGAAGAATCGACAACATTTTTTTTTTCAGCGTGCGCTTTTGGAAAACAAGAATGAAAGAAAGAAATTCCTCGGCCAAAGTTTTGATTGGTTTTTCCTAAAGAGAGGCCCGAAAACAAATCGGCGTCTGCTGCCGAACAATGGCCCATCAGAGACGGATCACCCTTCTGTTGTATCTAGAACGAACTCCAGATCCCATAATTGGTCTCGGACCCGACTGATGTACCACGAATCTCTCTTCACCGCGTACACCTTACCAAAGAGCTCGTACAACATAAAAAAGCAAAAAAAAAAAAAAAAAGGATGGGCATTGCGTTGTTCCGGTTGTTCGGCTTCCGCAGACCCCAGACAGATTTGTGCACACTGGGAAAGGGAGATTCAGGTAGCGTTGATGTACACCCGTGATTCCTGCAGTTCATTCCCATTTGTCTCCCAGGGAACTGCGCTTATTCCTGCAGCGATCGGCCATTGGTCCTCATCTAGACATGCGCGTGATGTGAGTGGGGAAGAAGAAGAATAAAACTCGGCTGGAAAGCAGAGCTTCGCTACGTTATCTGTGGGACATCGCCATATGGTGCAGCCCCGTTCGCGATGCTGTACGGCAGCAGCAACGGGAGGGTAGCCCTTCCCATCCCCGTCGGGCGTACACAGACCATACTTCGATGACCCCTGAGCTGAAAGTGCGGTGGGGGCTACGCGCTCGGAGAACCAATGAGCCGCCTCACTTTCATCACCCGACCCCACTTTCTCCATGCAGGTGAGTGCGCGCGTGATCACGTGGCAACAGATTGACGTTTGGCTGGTCCAACGACCACTTCCATCGCGCTGTCAGCTTAGGAGTGAACGGTTGCCTCCGTGGGGAGAGACCCCGTGCCGATGGGGTATAGAAGAGGGACGATCGGGAGGGCAACCAGAGACAAAGACCGAAGACGTTGGGAAAAGCTCGCTTCTGGCGTGAACGAGAGGAAAGCGGGACGATAGCGGAAAAAAAAAGAAACAGGAAAAAACCTCGATGGTAATTGGGGAATCGCATGCCCTTTCCCATCTATCTATTTCTGCTGATTTCCGCGGTAAGTTCTGTGCGAGCGTGTCTGTGTACGTATGTGCCGAGCAGTGATGTAGTACATAAATCATGTCGTGAGAACCGCGGCAGACGGTCGCCCGCTTGGATTTTGTGATGCATTTCTGCGTTTCGATGCGCGCTGCTTCGTCGATCCCTGCCTGCTTCCCCCCCTCCCCTCCCCCCCCCCCCCCCTTTATTTTTTTTCGCGTTCGTGCTCAATCTCGTTCGATCTCGTGCAACCTTCCTCAGTATAAGGCCGCTGCGTGGGCGAGTTGGAAAGACGCTCATGCTTTTTCCTCGCGAGAGATTAGTCTTTTCAATTGGGCACTCACATTCCGCTCTCCTGCGGCGGTGAAATCCGCTGCTCGAAAATCGGTGTGTACGGGAGATATTGAAGGAGATATTGGTCTTTGCTTGCCGGTGGGTGAATCATGGAAGGGAGTTTTCGGTAGAAGTATGAATGGACATTGTTGAAACGTGGAGTTCTCTCTGTGGTCGCCGGAAAGGGACGCAGTTCATTCTTCAAATAACGCGTGGCCCTTGTAAATGAAAAATTTGTCAATATTTGACAAGAGATCAGACTCAAACGCCTCTTTTTGCGTAAATAACTTAGGTTCACATCTCAAAAACTCGTGGCAATTATTGTGCCGCTTGAGGAAAGATTCGCGGCATTTGGAAATGGCACGGCAGGCCGAACAAGAAGTGAACCGGTGGAGACGCTGCAGTCATTGAAAGTCGTGGAAGTGTACCTAAAGCTATATGAGTCGATTCCACTCATATAAAATGACGTCCGGTGTCTCCGCTGTATTTGTGAAAGTTGGCGAGTGCAGAGCGACTGCTGCGATAGGG